GATAAGGTATGTTCTGTGCCACATTGGCATATATTGATGGAAGTTGGTAGCAGGTCTCCTTAGATGGTCTGAGATGGTCTCTTAGAGTCCCTGGCCCTTGAGTCCTGGTTTCAGTGCTCGACTTGCTGCCTTTCCAGACAGCTCTTGGAACAGGTGAGGCCAGCACACACAGAGCTTTGTGGTCACTTCTGGGGAGTTTCCCCAGTGGAGTGGATCGTCTGGTGCCTGGTTTAACATATTACATCCTGTTTATGAGGTTCAAAGGTAAAATTGAAGCGAGGTCCGAGCCGGCTGTTGTTGCATGGCGAGCGCTGCGTGTGCTGTGGTTGCTGCTGCTGCTCTTTTTCGTGAAGAAATCGGCTCACACCAGTGTTTTTAGTAAGTACCTGGTGATTTTTGAACTAGGACATTGTGGCTGAAACTACTGCACTCGGTGACATAAAAGCTCAGCAAAATCACCAATTCCATGGCCCTGTCTTGAATCTAGGCCTGTTGCCTCTAAAAGGACAGCTCAGAAGGATGTTTGCTATAATATTTTAGCCCGCGCTTTTAGATAGTGTTAATGGCAGCATGCAAGGTAAGTGATAGCCTCCTTTGGAGCTACTCTGAAGTTACTTGGGGACTGTAATGTTTGTAGCACATCTAAAATGTTTGGTCAGATCATCCTCTTGAGGGAGAAGTGGGGACAAGAGTGGTGCCCATCGACACCCAGTGAGCCCCACTGCTGGGGTTTGGGCTGGACTCTGTTCTTCATATGCCGCTTAAGCAGACAAGTACTAAATCTTTTGTCTAAACTTGGGAGTTTTTTTCCTGCTTTAACTATAGACTTAAAACAAAAAAACAACCCAGCAACCTTGCTACTGCCTTAACTTTAGCATGAAACACTCCATCTGAATTCAGTCAAACCACCCAAATGCTTAATTAGGAAGGCTTTGGTTGTCCTAACATTTAAATAACTTTAAAAGATTTGATTAGAGCAAAGATGCAATCCCACATTTGGGTTTTTCCATCTTTCTGCATTTCAAAATCTCTGTAACAATACTCTGATTTATTGAGGAAGTGTGGGGCTGTGTATTTACTTTTTTTCCCCCTGTCTTTTTTCAGCTTTTGCATCTGAACTCGGGAGGTTGAGAAACTTCTTGCTTCATACGGTGGCCACATGACTTAATATCTGGCTGGTTTCATGCCAGCTTGGAAGCAGCGTGTCTGGATGCGAGAGGGGGGATGGGAGCAGCCGTATCGGCACCTCAGAGTGACTAATAGGAGCGGGTAGGAAACAGCAGCTGAGTAAAAACAAATTGCAAGATCATTGCTATGATCTTGTTTGGGTTTGGGTTTTTGTTTGTTTATTTGGGTTTTTTTTGCTCCTTGCAAGCAAAACTGAGCTGATGTTGACCGACTCATTCAGAAATCTTGGGTTTCTTATGTGGCAATTTCCTTCCAACTTTGTACATAAAACTTTGAGTTGACCTTGACAGTCTTGTGGAATCAGCTTGTTTTTTTTGAAGCCAATTTTTAGATGTTTAACAGTATTGTTCTGGTGAGGCTGGGAACAGAAGGACTCTTGGCCTGCATTTTCTAGGCATATGTCCCCTACCTTAAGAGGAGCTCTGCCCACCTTGGCCAACGTGCCCTTCTGCTGTCCAAGGAGGGGAGCCGAAAAGGTTCCTCTTTTGGTCTGAATTGTTGGGAAATGCAGCTGTTAAAAAGTAAGCTGTGGGAGCTTTCAGCTGAAATGAGAAATGAAGCTGAAGGTACAAGTTTTTAATGGAATTTTAGTTTCTAAATCATCAGGGAAGCCTAGTTAAAATGTAAACTATGAAGTTGGGCCAGGCACTTTGAAAGCTAGAATTACAGAGGCTCTGAAGTGTGATTTATAATACAGAGCTTAAAGAAGAATGTATGGTAGGTAGCCCTAGCATTTAAAAAATAAAATAAAATAAAAATAAAAAACAACAACAAACAAAACCCCCCCACACTTTTTTCTGCAATTTATGAAATCAGGAAATAGAAGTGTAATTGCACACCAGTCCACCTTCTGTGGCTGTAGATGCTCCTTACTGTATGGAGCTGCATTGCAAACGTGGGGACAGAAACTATTGAAATTAGGGGCTGTGCCCCTTGTGAAGTGCACAGAAATCTAATGGCTTCAAAATACGACTTCTTTGCTGCTTTCATAAAGCCTCTGACATCAGAGCTCTCCCTTTTCCTCATTTTAGAAGATCGGACATTGACGCCCTCCCAGGTGGGCTTTTGTGAAGGGCTGAGGTCGGTGGTTGTCTTTCCCCTCTGGATGCTTCATTCTCCACAGTCTGGCTCTTGGGTAACCAGTAGCTCTTCTCGGGCTGGGATCTGGTGGCACCAAACCACTTACTTCCCCTGCTGAACTTCTCCACCTGCTTACTGGTTTTTTTTTTGCCCCCTGGATGCTGAGGGAGCCCTGCTTCGGCCTTCCCTGCATTCCTAGCAGGTCCCTGTATTTGCTGCTTCTGTCCTCGAGTGCACTTGCGTGTCCTTTGAGATGTACAAATGGTGTCCCCAGGTATAAGGGATCCACAGAGCACCAATTTGAGAGATCGTTTGGCAAACCTGTGGAGAGCTGTTCAAGGTAAACTAGGAAAACAGGAACACGTTTCAGTCTGCGTACAAAGTGATACTTAAAACACTTGCTCTGTAAATATTCCTTACAAAATCCCAGAATGGCTGAGGTTGGAAGGGACCTCTAGAGATAATATAGTTAAAACCC